CAGCAGCATTAGGCATTAGGGGAATGAGATACTACTACATATGCCTTTCTGGAAATAGTAGACTGGCTGGTGGGAATGCAAAGTGATACAACCACTTTGGAAAATAGTGCAGTAGTTTTCTTTTTTCTTTTCTTCCTTAGAAACAGGGTCACCTGGGCTGGACTGTAGTGGTGCAGTCATAGCTCACGGCAGCCTCAAATTTCTTGACTCAGGAGATCCTCCCACTTCAGCCTTCTGAGTAGCTGGGACTGCAGACTTGCATCACTACACCCAAAAGATTTTCTTTTCATTATTTTGGAAATAGGGTCTTGCTATGTTCCCCAAACTGGTCTCAAACTTCTGGCCTCAACTGATCTTCTTGCTTCAGCCTCCAGAGTCACTGGACTTACAGGCATGAGCCACCAGGCCAAGCTTTGGTGGTTTCTTATAAAGTTAAATGTATTTGCCAAGTAACCAGCAATCTCATTCTAAGGTACTTAAACACAAAAGAAATGAAAATTTGTTATATTAGTCTCCTAGGACTGCTAGAACAAATTACTACAAACTTGGTGGTTTAAAACAATAGTTTTTTTGTTGTTGTTGTTGTTGTTGTTTTTAAGATGAAGTTCCAAGCTGTTGTCCTGGGTAGAGTGCTATAGCATCATAGCTCACAGCAACCTCCAACTCTTGTGCTCAAGCAATCTTCTTGCCTCAGTTTTTCTATTTTTAGTAGAGACAGGCTCTCACTTTTGGCTCAGGCAGGTCTCAATAAAACAATAGAATTTTTTTTAGACTTTATTAAAAAGTAGAAATTTATTCTTTCAAACTTCTGGAGACCAGAAGTCTGAAATCTTGGTACAGCAGGGCTGCACTTCTTCCCGAAACCTTAGGAGAGAATCCTTCCATGCTTCTAGCTTCTGGTAATCACTGGCTCCTTTGGTCCATGCCTCGCTGCCTCTGTCACCTCCTAGGCATTTCTTCTTCTCTGCGTATCTCTTATAAGGACACATCATTGAACTTAGGACATACCTGACCAACCCAAGGATTGTTTCATTTGAAGATTCTGAACTTAATTGCATCAGCAAAGGACATGGACATATCTTTTGGGGGGACCCCATTCAGCCCACTACACTCATCTTCACACAAAAATCTATCCATGAATGTTCACAGAATTTCTATTATAAATGCCAAAAAGCGTAAAATACATGTGTCCTTCAATAGATAAATTGATAAATTAACTGTGGTACATTACTACAATGTAATACTACTCAGTAATAAAAAGAAACACTTCACTGATACATGCAAGGACATGACATGAATCAATATCTCAAATGCATGTGCTGAGTAACAGCAGCCAGACTTAAACCTATGTACATCTGACATTCTGAAAAAGACAGAACCATAGATTTGGGGAATAAAACAGTGATTATCAGTTGTTAAGGGCTGAGGGAGTGATTAACTGAAAAAGGGAAGCATGGAGGAATTTCGGAGTGTGATGAAATTGTGCTATGTCTTTTTTGTGGTAGTCATTACATGACCCAACACACTTGTCAAAGCTTACGGAAATGTACACCAAAACGAATGAACTTTTCTATATGTAAAGTTAAAGTGACATGTTTAAAATGAAATACTGGGGCTGATAATCGCCAAACAACATTTTCCTTTGCCGGCTGGACCCGCTTTAGGCTCTGCCAACTGGGAAGCCTAAAAGGAAACCAGAGGCATAAGGAAGAAGGAACGGGCTCTTTCTGATTTTGATTTTTGTTTCTATCAACATCACCTACAAGTTGCTGTACTTTGGCAGTGAAGTTGTTTCCAGTTTTGTCTTCCATACTCTTAGAACAAACAGCTTTATTGCATCCTCTCAGAAATACTAGCATCTGCTGACTTCTCTTCTCAATGGTCTGAGAACCCTTCTCTAAGTTTCTAGATTCTAATTGCCCCACCTCCTCCCTTTGTTCCCCCCAGCTGTGATGCCAGCTGCATCCTACACTTCTTTTTTAAATTAAATCATACCTGTGTACATGAATGCAATCCTACACTTTCTAATGCTGTGCTATCTCTTGTACTCTTTTTCCCTTTACTCAAATACCTATTTAGCCAATTCCTTATATTCAATTCTTTCTGTTAAAATTACTGGTGTGGGTTCTGTTGTCCAGACTCGAATTTTACTGACAGAAAGTCAAAGTGTTTCCTGGGTCCTACAAAGTCCTGTGTGATCTGTGTTCCCCATCTACTCTCCAGCCTCATCTCCTTCTTCTCTTTCCATGACTCACTCTAGGTCTGAACCCCAATTCACAGGATATGCATGTTAAACCTCACCATGGAGATGTACAATGTGGAAAAAATTATTGGAAAAATAATCCAGTCTCTCCAACAAATAAACTGCAAAGGGGTTAAAAAGATGGAGGAGACACCTCTAGATTGGAAGAGATTTAAAACCTATCAACAAGCAGCAATTCTGTCTTAGTCCATTTGTGTTGCCATAAAGAAATACCTGAGACTGGGTGAGTTATAAAGAGAAGAGGTTTAATTGGCTCACAGTTCTGCAGGTTGGACAGGAAGCGTCGTGTCAGTGTCTGATTCTGGTGAGGGCCTCAGGTGGCTTCCACTCACGACAGAAGGGTAGGGGAGCTGGTGTGTGCAGACATCACAGGAGGAGAGAGGAAGCTAGGGGGCGGGGAGGTGCCAGCTTTTTTTTTAACAAGCAGCTCTCTCAGAAACTAATAGAGCAAGAACTCAGTACTCTGGTAATGGCACCCAGTCATTCATGACAGATCTGCCAGCATGACCCCAACAACTCCCACCAGGCCCCTCCTCCAACATTTGGGATCAGATTTTAACAGGAAGCTTGGCAGGGCCAAACAAACCACATCCAAACCACAACAAATGTGAAGCCCCACTTTGAGCCCTAATTTTACATATGTACACATATGTGTGATCATATATATCCATGAATAATAACTGGGGGATTTGAATCATGACTGGATGTGTGATATTAAAGTATTAAGAAATTATTATTAATTTATTTTAGTTGTTAAATGGGATGTAGTTGTGTTTAAAGAGTCCTTCCCATTTAGAAAAACAGTGCAAAGGCCCAGGGCAGAGCTTACCCCTGCAATCCTAGCACTCTGGGACGGCAAGACTGGTGGATTGCTTGAGCTCAGGAGTTGAAGACCAGACTGAGCAAGAGCAAGACCTTGTCTCTACCAAAAGTAAAAAAAACTAGCCAGATGCAGTGGCGCACACCTGTAGTCCCAACTATTTGGGAGGCTGAGGCGAGAGGATCTCTTAAGCCCAAGAGTCTGAGGTTGCTGTGAGCTATGATACCAGGGCACTCTATTCAGGGTGACAGAGTGAGACTGTCTTTAAAAAAAGGAAAGAAAGAAATACACAGTGAAATATTTATGGATATATTGATGTAATAATACACTAGGGGATGAGGAGTAGATCATACATAGATGTAACAACATTAACCACTCATCATTCTTGAAAACAAGTAATGGGTACCAAAAAAATCATCATATTTTATAAACACTGGGCTGTTTGTATGTTTAAAATTTTCCAAGTATCTCCAAAATCTGAGAGTCTACTGTAATCAGGCAGCTAGGACAAAGAATGGCTCAGGGATCCCAGGAACCACTGTTGAAAGCACATAGTGCAGAGTTTTCACCTGTATGCTCTAGAAACCAATGCCTGCCTCTGCCAGCGTCCGTCTGCATGTCTGTGGCCCTCACGTCTCCCTGCCTCTGTTTCCTCGCCTGTGAAGTAGAATAATGGCATCTACCTCATGGTTTTGTCATGAAGATTAAATGAATTCACAGGCATAAAGCACTATCTTAAAATACCATTTGGCCCATTGTAAGCACTCAGAAATATTTATTAATAGTAGTAGTACTACACAGGAAAACAAGTTGAAATGAATCACCAGATCTTGAAACAAATGTATCCAAAATAGGCTTTTAATCTTGATGAAGTTCACAAATGGCACAATATTGACATTTTCTTAAACAAATTATACAATCATGTTCTTAGACAACAAGGCACAGCATCACCATTACCATGTGTCCCCAGAGGCCACAAGAGGCAGTGATTTCATGTCCCCCTAAGGTTTGGCAGAGCTGCCATGATCAACAGGATGGCTCTCAAAGAATCAATTCGCTTGACACAGCCAGTGATATAGCCAGTGAGAAATGCCATCACATTTACTGGACATAGAATTAAATATAAAAATGATGCACAATAAATATGGAATTAGCTTATTTTGCATTCAGTTTCATTCCTTTCAAGTGACAAAAGTGCTTTTTTTCAGGATCTATTAGGATGCAAACATGTATCTTCCATGGGCCGTTCTCACCAAGTTGTTGTCGACAGAAATTAATATAAGTGGCGAGTGCGGCTTCATGGGGAACCTGAGATGAGAAAACAAAAGAGAAAGAAGAAGAGGAGGAAAACAAGGAAAAGGAAGGAGGAGCAAGAGGAGGGGGGGGTGGTGAGAAGAAAAGGAAGAACGGGAAAAGAAGGACACGGAGTGAATCAACACAATTATTACTGAAAAGAACACTAATTCACAGAAGTGCCTCTTTAAACAGCATTTATGAATTATGGATACAAGATGTGGGCAGGCTTATGGGGCAAATGAAGATTACAATAATTCTACTTTAGCTACTGACACTGGTAGTAGGTTATGATTGTCCCTCTGGTCTGAATGTGTGCTCAAGGGTGGAGCTCTTTCTCATTAAGGAGGACTGGCCTTAATGATTGCAGGCCCCTCCCTTTCTGGATTTAGCAAGCTTTTTTGTTTTATCCATTTCTCTTCTCAGAAAAATAACACTGCATATCTGAAGCCTGTCCTAACATTCTGATTTCATGGTCGGTTCTAAAAGGAACCCACTCCCTCCGGGGGAAGAATGAAATGGGAGAGAAGGGGCCTGAAGAACCTACCAGGGCCAGTGAGTCTTAAAATGTAGACCCTAACCTCCAAATCCCTACCACTCCCATCCCGTAGAACAAGAGCAGTTACCTTCTTTCTGGAGGCATTTAGCTGCTCAGGCTTGAAGGTCCCTGCGGCGCCTGCCAAAAGCTTGGGAACCCACATTGGTGGGCACAAAGTCGCTCTTTACCATACCCCCTGATCTGCTCAGCAAGCCGGCCAGCCGATGAGTCACACAGGTGGCAGTGTTGCAGGCTCTCTTCTGGGCAGTGATGCTGATTTACAGGATGGAGAAAGAAGAGAAGAAGACCCGTGAGTGAGAGACTGGAGGGGGCGGTGTTAGCAGGAGCATGCCCCATGGGACCTTCATAAAGAGAATGGCAGCTCTTCCACAGACCGCTTAACAGCAAGTGCTTCTAAGTGCCATTATCAGAGCTCTCAAGGGGTATAGGCTGGCAACCTTTGGTAGGAGATTTGCCCATCACAAAAATATAAATAAACAAGAAAAGGAGTTCTAATCCATGGGCACATCATGCTGAAACCCTGCACTTACCATTCAAAGCCCAGCCCCACACCAACACATGCAAGGAGTATGTAGAGACCATATCCCAGCCACAAGCTCCCAAAAAAACACTTTCCATGGGAAAATAAAATTCTCCTGCAGTCTTATCTGAAAGAAGCTCAGACATCAGCGTTTGCAGCATCCTCTCCCAAAGTACTTACCTGTTCCTTACTATACTATACTTGCTGCTTGAAATGGGTCACAGAGACCACACTCCGAGCCCTACACTGAGCTATCCTGAAGCCAGAGCTACTTCTAAGTGTAGGCACTGGACACCCTCAAGCCCTGGACATGGACTACAGCAATGAACACCACAGCTCAGGTCCTTTTATAAAAATAATTCTTCGTCAAATGGTGAGGCATAAAGGATGTGCTTATTTTAGTACATTACGGAACAGAAATTGAGAAGGTCTGTCATAAATTCCTCTAGGGTCTCAAGAAGCTTCTCTCACTCTCTCTTATCTCTAAACTGCTCTGTGAGTTCTGTTCTCTTCCCTTCCATTCTGGGGTCCCCATAACATTCTGTCCTAAGCAAAGCTACCAATACCAGCTTGTAGAACAATCAGAGAGGACTCTATAAGCATCACATTCATAAAGCAGAGCAGGAAAGGAAATCAGGCGGAGTAAGAGGAGTGCAGTTGGCATCCTGGAGCACCCCAAAGTGTGGATAGCAGGCCCTCTGAAAGCTGCTGGCTATGTCTCTCTCATCTCTCAACAGACATTCCAGGCCCAAAGTTGATGCCAGGGAATATATAAAAGTTGTTCAGGCACTGTGAGTACATGCCCAGCACATAGGTACTCAGATCACTATAGCACTTAGATCTGGGGCTGTCCAGGCTGCAGGAAAAGACAGGCCACACAGTACCATGCATCGAGGGCTGCCTCCATGGGCAGTCACTCAGAAGATTGGACGAGGCAGAAGGCACTTCAAGTGGGAGCAAGAGGAACAAGCAGGGAGCAGCTCACACATCCTCCACTAGGAAGAGCTCAGGATTCCAGCCGGGCAGGGCAGTGTGGGGAAGGGCTGGGTGGGGAAGGGTGAGCTTTTCTGGCATTCCACATGATGTTCAGTCCTCCATGCTCAGCAAAGGGGTTCTTGGGATGGATGCAGGTACGACACATACTTCTGCCCAGGTAATGCTGGGGCCAGGCTGGTCACTGCTCAGGCTCAGGGAGCACAGGGAGGTAGGGTTGGAGAAGGGTGCCTTCCCTGGTCCAGTGACAACATGCACATTTCCACGGATGCTAGAGACCCAGATCTACCTCAGACACTGCTCTACTTGGCCCCTATAAGGGCTGCACCTTCACCTTGCACATGTGAAATGCATGCTCCTTGCAGAAGTGAAAAAGCAACATATATAGGAGAAATTTCCAAAACCTCCTAACTTTCCAGGTCCCTCCTCTGGCTTCACTCGTACCACCCCTAACTCATCCAGTGCTGAGAAGTCTCCCCAGTACTCAAAGACCACCTCTCACAGGGAATGATTCCACACCTTCCCTAATTGCTTTCAAAAATAAACGTTTTTAAAAGGCTTTCTAACCATAGTCTCTCCAACTTACTTCTAAGACTGGCTGGGCCCCAGGTCCTGGTGAACAACCACGGTCTGCTGGACCGTGGCCAGTGTGTTCTCTCCTACCTGGACTACGCCTTCCTGAGTGTGAGGAGAGGGGAGGCCCTGAGCTGGGCAGCTGGGGAGCCTTACCTGGAGCCTTCTGTCTCCAGCTCCTGCTCCAGCTCACTCGCCTTCATCTGCACATAGTCCTGCACCAGTGCAGCCAGCAGGAGGCGCGCTTCCTCCTCACTGAGTGTAGCCAGGTCTGGGCTGCTCTCCAGGTTCGATCTGTGAAGGGAAGCAAACCCAGTGCAGGCTGTGTGTCCCTGTCTACCCTCTCCCAGGGATATGCAGCCAGGCTTCTGGTCCCTGCATCTTTCCCTGAAGAGGTGGCCGTGCTGACTCTAAGTGGACAAAGCACGAGGCCATTGTTCACATAAGGTCGCTGATTGAGAGGCAGGTGCGACTTAAGAAACACAGAGCTGTCTGATCCCAGGGGCAGTGGGGCGCGCAGTCCGCTCACGCTACAAGTTGTCTTACCTGAATGGCGCCGCCTGGAGGCTGCCGGCCTGGCACAGGACCAAGATGCTGAGAGCCAGGAAGGGGGAGAACTTCCGGAAGCCCATGATGTCTCCCTGTAAAGGGAGGATGATGTTACCACTGCACCAAGACTACAGTTTAGTCTAACTCTGATTAGTTAGGTTCTAGACCTGCCTCTCCCACGACTGCCATGTGACCTCAGGCAGGTGACTCCACATCCCGGAGCCTCTGTTTTGTTCATTTGCCAGAAGGGCTGCTGTGAATCTCAAAAGTTACATTGCAGTGAGTGAATGACTTGGTAGAGCAGAAACAAGTTCGCTGCGGGAACGGGGGGTGGATTTTGGTTCTGTTCCGTGGAAGGCCAGGAAAAGCCACACGCGAGCAAGCACACAAACCCACACTTTTTGCCCCGATTTACGTAGAAACCTGATGTAGACTTGCCCTCTCATTGCACCTGTCTTCTCACCTTCTCCGCTGGACTTGGCGCCACTGTGTGGCAGGGGAAGATGAAAAGGCTAGATTGAAACGGAACACTAATCTCTCAGACTTGAATTTGGGGAATTTTTTAACCAATTAGCAAGTGACTCGCCCGCACAGCCGTAGTCCTGCCAGAGCGCATTTTCGTAGCGGGTGCTGAGCCCACGGTTGTGGTCAGCTAACAGCACTGTCCCAGATCCTGGCTGCTGTCCTAGGGACGCTTGCAGGCTGCAGGCGGTCCAGAGGAAAGCCCTGCCGTCCCGGGAGCCAAATGTTATCCCTAAGGAGACACACAGCACAAGACACTCCCGGACCAAACTCCAGCAGAATCCTGCATCAGGACCGGCACCCTCGCCTGGGCCGCAGACCCGCCTAGCTGGGTAGCCACACTTCCAGCGCAGAGGCTGAGACCAGGGGAGCTCCGGACTCCCTCTAGGCCCCGCCGCGCTCCTTGGGAGAAAATCGTAGGACAACCCTAATCGCGCGCTTCTCCAGAAGGAAGAGAGCTAGGACCATCAGCTGTGGGTAGGACGATGGCAGTGGAGAGGCGAAAGAGAGGCAAGCAAGCAGACAGAGCAAACTGGAGGAATTTATCATAGAACAGGATTATTGGAGTCAGGGGAATGGGGAGTTTCTCACCTGGCGACGCTGGTTTCAGGGCAGTGCGAGTCCTAGGCTGATGTCCTAGGTCCACCTGAGATGAGCACACGCCTGCGGTGGGCGCCTTCCTGGTGGAGCTGGGGGCTCTTATTCTTGTGATAGCAGGAGGCGGGGTCCCCTTCCTGCGCCCGACCAATCCAAAGTGGCCAGGACTAGCCAATCAGAGGGCCGACCGAGCTCCGATTGCGTCATAGCCAGCTCTTCTCCGGTTCTCTGGGGAAGACGGTGTCTGCTCCTATTATCTGCATTGATGTCATTGCTTGGAAAGATGGAGGGCCTGGGAGAGAGTAGGGAAGGTTTGACGTCCAGAAAATGAGGGCAAGTGCAGGAGAGTTTGGCGTCACCTGCCATGGGGGGCTCGAGCTTCTCTCACCTCCTTGGCTCCTGAACTCCTGCCTTGCACTCCCTCCAGCCACGCCAATGTCCCCAACTGCAACCTGACCCGAGCCTGCAACCTGGCCCACCAGGGAAGTTGAGCCATAATCCTGAGTTCTAAGGGACCTCAGCTGAAATAGCCCATGGCAGGATAGGAGGAATGGCAGGCGAGGAGGAGGAGCCTTTAAAAGTTGATCTCTTTGGACCACCTGGAGTCCCTCTAGGATAGGGGATGTGTGTCACCTGACTCCTCCTGCCCTGGCGTTCTGGGCTCCCTGCACCTAAAGATTGTTTTGCTGCCACTGTGGCAGCCGACCCTCACCCTCCTCATTCCTCTGGCATGGGTAGGAGGTGAGGAGAGGACGGAGGAGGTTAAATTGCCATTGCTTGCAAGAAGGGCTCAGCGCCACCGCCCCACCACCTCTGGTGTCCCTAAACCCTCGACTGCCAGTCCAGCAACCCCTATCCCAACCCAGAACCCTCCATTCCGCGCCCGTGAGGTTTGCACAGCTGCCCTTAGCCTCTGGCCTCTGTTTGCCAAACCGCCTGGCCAGGACTGCTGTGTCCCGGTCTCTACATCTCTCCGCCGCGGCACTTCCCTGAAGCGCCTAAGAGCTGAGCGCTTCGGGGTCCAGCGCCCACCGGAGGGGATCGCCTTCCGCAGGTGCACGCATCGCCACTCACGTCCCGGGACTCCAGGCACGTGTTCTGCTCTTCCCATTCACTCAGACCCCCGCAGACAGAGCTGATTAGAGCTCGCGCGCACGAACCCAAACCAACTACTCCCAGACTCGAAAGCAGTTGCATGTGTTTGTCCTTTCAGTTAACAGACTCCTTTTCTACACGCTGGGGTGCACGCTGTCCCCCAAACTCGCACAGCGGCACGCATATTCACAAACAAGAACATCATCTTCCCTTTTTCCTTATGGAGAGTCGGTTTCTGGGAGTCGGTGCTGTCGGTTGTCCTTGCTCTCAAATTCGGGGACAAAATCCCAGCTCTGGTAGAAGAGCCTTGGAGCCGACTGGGGGTAGGTTTGGTGGGGAGAAAGAGAGGGAGCGCGCTCCCCAGGCCTCAGGATCGCCCTGCTGCCTTTTGGTGGCTGTGTCCCCAAATGCGTCTGCCGATGCCCCGGGGCTCCTGGAGCGCCATCCTGATGCTTCACCCAGAGGTTCGGGGCTAGAGGTGAAGCTAGGGGCTCATGGGATTCCCGGGGCTGGTGCTCACTGTCTAGAGCCTCCCCGTTATTTTCCTGTGGCAGCACCCAGCTGGTGGAGCAAGGACCTGTTGACAGCCAGCACTTGAGCAATTGGCACTGCAAAAAACATCTCAAACGAATCCCTACCGCAGACTTGGGCGACCCCACCCCGCGCCCAGAATGCCTCCAGCCCGTTGACCTGCAGTCTCTCCCTCTCGGGGAAAGCAGCTGGTGCTCCACATAGCGCGGATGAGGACTGTGGCAGATGCGAAGTAAAGTAGGAGGACTTCCAGTACCTGCCTAATCCTACACCAGAAACCACAGCTCTCTAAGGTGGATTTTCTGTGTAATAGAAAGGTCTCTATGCGTCTAGATTGTTCGGCTGGGTTGTGGATGAAAAGAGGAATACTGAAGAGGTCTTACTTGGGCGCCCTTCCTCCAGAGCAAATCTTACGGGAGACTTCTGCGTCCTCCTGTCCATCCTTGCCCCAAAGAGGGGCTGCAGAGAGGAAAGGCAAAATTGAGAAGAGCTTCCTGCGTCGACCTCTGCGTCTACACTGCCTCCTCTGCAGCCACTCCAGCCACTGGCCCCATCCCGGAGGTCTGGCAGATCTGGTAGCCCAGTAGCTCCTGACAACACCACTGTCCATTACCGCCCTGGGCTAGCTGGGCCAGAGAGGGGAGGAAGCAGAGTAAATGGCCCCAGGCTCCCCAGCACACAAGAGGAGTCCTCGCTGGTGTTTGTCCTCCCAAGAAGCCCAAAAATATTACTTTGAGGGAATTCGAACCCCTGGGGCTGTAGGCTAAAGCTAGCACCTTCTCCAAAGACTCGGTCTATGTCACTAGGACTGTTCTGAAGTGTTGGGACAGATGGCCTTGCTGCCATGCGCAGAGCACAGACCCCTACCATGCCCTCTGCTCCTCAGGCATGCTCTGGATGACCCAATTTCCATTCATTAGCTAGAAGAGCAGATCACTCATCCAAAGATGCGCCTCTCTAATTTAATAGAAGTAATCAGCGCCCTGGTGAAAACTTTTTGGATTCTAATGTGAAGGCTTCTCTTGGGGAGCCCCAACAGCTTGAAAAGCAAAACAAGACAGTTTTCCTCAGCCAATCCTTGTATATCAGAGAGCGAATGGAAACAAAAGTCAATACAATAATCTTTCTAAATTGAGAAAATTACATCTTGATTTCCCTGGAACTGTTCTGAGTTTCAAGGCATCTCCAACCAAGCTAACAACCATAGGATTTACAGAGAATAGTTTCCTAGGAATATCTGGCTATTAAATTGTTTGTTAAATATTCTGATGCTTAGTTTAAATATTTTATATCATTACTTTAAATTTTGAAATGGTAATCTTAAAATTTTAGAAGCATATTCTATGTACTACAGCTTTTGAAGTTTCTTTGTATTTATTTTTTTTCTTTTTTCTTTTTTTTTAGACAGAATCTAACTCAGTCGCCTTCGGGTTGAGCGCCCTGGCATCACAGCTCATAGCAACCTCAAACTCTTGGGCTCAAGTGATCCTTTGCCTCAGCCTCCCATGTAGCTGGGACTACACTCATCGGCCACAACATCAAGCTTCTTTGTATTTATCTTAGCTCACTTTCTGTTTTCTTTACAAATTTCCTAGGAGAAATATTCCTTAGGAAAATTTATTTACTTAACGTGTATTTATTTAAATATTCCTTAGAAAAATTTATTTGTTCAACATGTATATTTATTGAGGACTTTCCATGTGCCAGGCATTGTTTTAGGCACTAGGAATTCACCGCAAACAAAATAAAACTCTTGTCCTCCTGGTGTTTATATTTCAGTGATGTACTTGGCAAGAGTCCTTATATATCACCCCTCCCCAAAAAGAACACATCCTACCTTAATCACAACTTCTCAATGTAGCAACCTCATCTATTTTTTCTCCTCTGTCTTCTATTTCCAGTGCTACAGTTGAGAATTCCATTTTGATGTTTTCTTCTTTGTTTTTATTTGTTGTTGTTGTTGTTATTGGTTTTCTCTGTCCAGCCCCCCTTTTTCTTTCCCCTTTCCCCAGTGTTCTAAAATTTCATGGACTGTTTTTATTTCTTATTCTGCGCACTGAAGGAATACTTGCAATCTGAAATTTCATGTCCTTCACTTGGAAAACTTTCTTGCTTTGTTGCTTTGAAAATTTTCTTCTCTCTCTTTCTCTCTCAACTTCTGGGAAGGATTTTTTAATTTACATATTTTTAATTCTTTTCAGCATATTTTTGATTTCTAAGAGCTTTACCTTTACTCTGTGAATATTATTTTTTATGGATTCTCATTTTTACTTAAGGGGTTCACTCTCTTCTCCTGCCTCTCTGAGGCCATTGAATATATGTGACTTGTTTTGTTCTGTTCATATTATTGGCTGTC